TATCTATCTATCTATCTATCTATCTATCTATCTATCTATCTATCTATCTATTACGTATACAGTGTCCTGCCTGCATGTGCGCCTGCACGCCAGAAGAGGGCACCATATCTCATTACAGATGGTTGTGAACCACCATGTGGTTGCTGGGAATTGAACTCGGGACCTTTGGAAGAGCAATGGTGCTCTTAACCTCTGAACCATCTCTCCAGCCCGAATTCCCCATTTTCTTATCTCCACTACCATATGCTGGGACTACAGGTGTGTGCCATCATTCTTGGCTTCATTTTAGTTAGTTTAAATGAAAATGGTCACTTTCACTTGTGGGACTTAGGCCCCTTGAGATAGCCATGGAAGAGCCTTTGTTCTGCAAAGATGTCTCTAAAGTCCCCTATCTCCAACACCTGGAGCACATGGAAGCCTTCTTTTCACCGGTGAGGAAGAGTTGTCTATTTTCCACCTCCTCGTTCATCTTTGGCCAATATCAAGGGAAGAGGTGCCATGGCTGTCCTGATCTAGGCCTTGCCACCCTTGCATCTGCCTTCCTGCCTCCTTTGGATTACCATGGGAGCGTGCTTTAGCTAGCCTGTGGTTCGGCCAACAGTTCCCAGGTCAGAGCTGGAGAACCGTCTTTCTGACCTGTAGCTGGCTGCAGATGCAGAGGGAAGGCAGGTCCAGACTAGGCAGGAAGATGGTCCCGCTGGTTCACGTGTGAACATGAAGGACATGCTTACAAATTCCCAGCCCTGGTCTGTCTGTTACAAGGCATTGTTCCAGCAGTCCACAGGTAATGCTCTGTTAGCGTTTGTTTTGTGCAGTGTGTGGCTAGAGGCAGAGGAGGGCTTGCTGCCTGGGAATCAAAGGAGGAAATATGTCCCGAAAGGAGTGGTCAATCATACTGAGTGTTACGGAATGTCAGGAACATGAAGGAAGGCTGCGTACAGGAGTAACCTGTTGCTTTATTGCATGCCTTTCCTTACTTTCTTTTGCGTGCTTGTGTCTGTCTCTCTGGGTGTATTTTTGGGTGAATGTGGACATGTACAGGTATTTGGTGAGTATGTACATAGTTTGTGTCAATGGAGGCCAAAGGACAGCCATGGGTCTCAGTCCTTGGGCACTTTCTGCCTTTCCATTGAGATGAGGTCTCTTTTTCGGCCTGGAACTCCACTTAGGTTGGGCTAGCTGGCCTGTGAGCCTCCAGAATCCATCTGTCTTCTCCTTCCTCTCACCACTTCTGGGATTATAGGCAGGTGTTCCAGTGCAGGCTGGAGAACCCAACTCAGCCTTCATGCTTGGGAGACAAGAGCTTTTCCCACTGAGCCATCTCCAGCAATGATCCCTGTTGTCTGACTCCACCCTCTACTCTCCTGAGCACTGCCAGAGGCTGGCCCAAGCCGCCACAATGCCTCCATGGGGATCACTTCACTGTCACACCGGCTGCCTCCTTAGGAGCCACAACACTGTGCTTCGTTCTTGCAGCTAAACTCAAACCTCTCATCTGGATTGCAAAGCTCTGTCTTTCTCTGCTTGCTTTGTTCCCCTCTGCCCAAACCTACCACTTTCTGGGCTCCTGATGCACTGAGCTCAGTTGTGCCTCAGGGCCTTTGCACAGGACACTCTCTGGGCTGGGGATGCTCTTCTTCTCTGGTGAGTGTATGGTCAGCCATGCCTTGCTTTTACGCTTATTGAGAACTATCTTACAACCCAGCAGAGCACCTGTTCTTATTGACAGTTTTTAACTCTCTTTTTCTCTCTCTCTGTGTGTATGTGTGCACTTCTAGGAACTGTGTGCCATCACACCAGAGCATGATGGTAAGGACTTTGGGGTCAGGTCTGTCTGGGTCAGAGGTGAATGTTTAATGCCTAACAAAGAACCTGGCACACTGAAGGCATTCAAGCAATGATTGCTGAGTGATTACCTAGGATCCCTCTAGCTCTGTGCTTAAGTACATGTGAGGACCATGCCATGTTGCCCATGATGTAACACAAAGCCCCCTCTGCACCTTAAGGACACATAACTCCATCCCTAAGTAATGTTAACAGCAACTTCACAAAGAAAAAGGTAAGAGCCAAGAGGCAGAACAATAATTTACAGAATGCAGTGGGAGCATTTGTTTGGCCCAAGGCCTGTTTCTCTCACCCCTTATTTAAATAAGGTGAGCTTTGGAAAAAAAAATAGAGCAACATACAGTTTTGGGTTTCTGAGTGTTACGAAAAATCAGATGATTTGGTGGTCAACTCCAAGCTGACATTCTGAACAGATTAGGCTAGAGTTAAACCAGTTAGCACAAGCGGCCTAGGGTACGCGCAGTGCCTCCTACAGGGCTCATTCTGGCTTGCGGCTGTGCGGCGCTCAGGTGGTCTAGTTGGTGTGCATAAAACTCAGGAGGTCTAAGGTTGGTGTGCACAGCACCCCCTGTAGGGCTCATGCTGACTTGCATGTGCGTGAAACTCGGGCTTTGATTGTTGTGCACAGTGCCCCTGTAGGGCTCATGCTGACTTGCATGTGACTGGAGCTCAGGAGGTCTAGGTTGGTGTGCACATCGACCCCTGTAGGCTCACACCGACACACAAGTACTGCATTATTTGCCGGCATCTGAGCTGAGGCTTTGTAGTAACATATTGGCATCTCAATCCCTGCATGGTGGATCGGAAGTGGCCTCTATTTTCTTGTTCTCTTATGTTTGAATCTGCTATATCAAATATTTCTGCAAAGTACATGCGTTACCTTATAATGAGAAAATGAATCAATAAGCGCTGTTTTATGAAAGGTTGTACCACAGCCTGGAAATGCACAGCGTGCATGAAATGCCCAGATCAGATGAAAGGCACTTGCTATTTCCCTAGATGCCCCATGGGTAGCAATTCATTCTCCTTTGCCTTTTTGGGATAAGGGTCCTTTGTCCTGATTTATTCCCAGCCTTCGATTCATAAATACATGGCTTTGCCCACGGCAAGGCACAATAGCTCCATCACAATAAAAAATGAAGGAGAAAAGCCAAAGGATTCTGGGCCTGAGGCAACTAGATGGGTCGCTTCATTCCCAAGCAAGTACCAGGAGAAAGTTTCAACAACCCTAAATAAATCGGGAGTGTCTTTTGGAATTTCCCATAAGATCATTTATCTTATAGGTCCTAGGATGCTCATGATTAAAGCCGGGAGCCCAGTTGCCTCCCAATTTTGGGGCACTGTGCTATATACTGGGTAGATGGTCAGTGGTTCTGAGGTTTACACTCTTCCCACAGGATGGCATGGGAGGAAAGACACTCACTGGCATTGATACTAGGAGGTGCTGCCACCTGTGATGGGCCTGTTCGAGGGATGTCCCTTTGGCATGGGTGGGGGTATCAGCAGCCCTCTGACCCCAGAGAGGGGGTAGGAGATAGCTCAGGTGGTAAAAGTGCTTGCCCTGCAAGTGTGGAGACCTGAGTTCAGATCCCCTGCTGAGTCAGTGAGTGCCAAGCTCAGAGAGAGACCCCTGTCTAAACACACACACACACACACACACACACACACACACACACACACACACA